TCTGCTCATGGTCTCTGCTGTGGAATGGCATGTGTTGCCATCCAACAGCATCTGCCACCTTACCATCCCCAGTTCTCAGCTGACTTCTGTCCCCAACAGGGCTGAAGAAGAGTATGAGTATGCCTTCGACGATGAGCCTACTCCGTCTCCACAGGCCTATGGGGGGACCCCCAACCCCCAAACACCTGGCTATCCGGATCCTTCCTCCCCCCAGGTCAACCCACAGTATAACCCACAGACTCCAGGGACGCCAGCCATGTGAGTGCCCTGGGCTAGCCCTGATCCCGGCTGCACACACCCTCCCACTGCCTCACCCCCTGTGCCTTCCCTGATGAACAAATGTCCCTTCTTTCCTGTGTCTTCAGGTACAACACAGACCAGTTCTCCCCCTATGCCGCCCCCTCCCCTCAAGGCTCCTACCAGCCCAGCCCCAGTCCCCAGAGCTACCACCAGGTGGCACCAAGCCCAGCAGGCTACCAAAACACCCATTCGCCAGCCAGCTACCACCCCACACCCTCGCCCATGGCCTATCAGGTACTGGTCACCTTGGATGCCCTGCAGAGCAGTGGGCTAGAATGGACTGTGGCCTACGGCCAGGCCAAGTGACTGTTCCAGTGACACTATCCTCTGTTCCCCTGTAGGCAAGCCCCAGCCCTAGCCCAGTTGGCTATAGTCCGATGACACCTGGAGCTCCCTCCCCTGGTGGCTACAACCCGCACACACCTGGCTCAGGCATTGAGCAGAACTCCAGCGACTGGGTAACCACTGACATCCAGGTGAAGGTGCGGGACACCTACCTGGACACACAGGTGGTGGGTCAGACAGGAGTCATCCGTAGTGTCACGGTGAGTGGGAAACAGGCATGTTATGGTGATTGGTCAGCAGGCATCCTCTCCCTGGGTGCCCCCAATTTTCATGTGTGGGTTTTTTTGTTTTTGTTCTTTAACTAACCACATTGACAAAGATCCATCCATAGGTGGACAGGCACGGGAGGGTTCGGGGTTTCTGCCCATCATACTCAACTCTGCCTGCCGCATTCACAACTAAAGTCTGTGACCTGAAACAGAGAAGGTGGTTGATTTCTGTCATAGTCCTTTGAGATCAGCTCAGTAACATGTCCCCAGCACCTTGTCAGGACCAGGCTTGGGCTTAATGTCAGGCATCCACACCCCTGGGCTCCTCCAGGCCTCCCGGCCTCTCCCTTCTTCACACTCAGCCAAGTTCAGGACCTTTCCACACACACCTTCCTGTCTTCCTTCCGTGCGTTGTCTGGCGAGTGTCTGCGCCAGCTCGGGCCTGGGGCTCAGTGTGGTTCTGTGTCAGTGTGGTCCTGCAGGTGCTGCAGGAGAGCTTGGCGCTTACCCTGGTGGGTTCTCTGATTGTGAATGTTGATTGAGTCAAACAACATCAGAGACTAAGACACTCACAGGCCTCACGTTCCAGGGGTTGGGGGCAGGGGGCAGATATGTCCTCAGACAGGGACAGTCCAGAGTGGGCACAGCTGGGATGAGGCAAGCCCAGAGCTCAGAGGAGCTGGTAGGTGACGGAAAGGAGGCACCTTACCCAGCTTTAGGGGGGAATCAGGAAGGACTTTGTGGAAAGGGAGACTTCCAAGCCCACGACCTGAGGGACGAATAGGAATTAGACAAGGAGAGGACAGGGAGCTGCACGTTTCGTGGATCCAAAGTATGTCCATTTTGGCTGGAATATAAATAGCCAAGGGGAAGGTGAGCGGTGAAGCCAGGGGAGTGGCTGGGCCAGGTCCTGTGCCAGCCTAGAGAACTCTGGACCATCCAGCGGGCACTGGGGAACCACGGAGGCATCTAGGCAGCAGGGGAGTGATGGGCTCAGGTCTGTGGTTTGGAACTGATTCTCCATGTTGCAGTGTCAGGGAGGGAGTGGAGGTGGTGAGACTGGGGTCTTGGAGCCCTGAGGAGTTGGGGGCGTCAGGTTGCTCTATGGCAGTGCCATGGGGAAGGAAGGAGGAACCGAGGTGGGAGAGGAGACCCTCCGGAGGCTGAACGGACAGACCTCAGAGCTGGACCACTGTTGGTGACAAAGATGAGGTCCAGAGCTTGACTGGGCTATGGGGCCATCTGACACCAGGGCCCAGGATGGGGGGCAGGTAGAAAGAAGCCAAGGCCATTTGAGGACATGAAGAGTCAGGTGCCTGAGAAGTAGTCCCCGTTTGGCCCAAGTTTGCTTCATCCTGGGGCTTCCCTTGCTGACTTGGTCACCCCCCCACCTTCCCTGCCAGCATGCATCATTGGCTCCAGCCTTGGAACCAGGCACAGCTGTGGCCCTCCTTGCTCGCTTATCACATGGGGATTGAGTTTTCAGAATGAGCCTGTAGCCTGTGTCCCTTGGAGAGTGGGAACAGGACAGGTTGACCAGGCTGTGCCTACCCTGCAGGGAGGCATGTGCTCTGTGTACCTGAAGGATAGTGAGAAGGTCGTCAGCATTTCCAGTGAGCACCTGGAACCCATCACCCCCACCAAGAACAACAAGGTAGGTCAGGGGACGGGGCCAAGGGGTGTCAGGCTGCTGACATGGGGCGCTGATTCTATGTCCTCCACTTCAGGTAAAGGTGATCCTGGGTGAGGATCGGGAGGCCACTGGAGTGCTGCTGAGCATCGATGGTGAGGATGGCATCGTCCGCATGGACCTTGACGAGCAGCTCAAGATCCTCAACCTCCGCTTCCTGGGGAAGCTCCTGGAGGCCTAAGTCAGGAGGAGAGGTAGAATTCAGAAGATGACCCGGCAGACGAAGAGGACCAGGACCCTCCTTCCTTCCCTGGCCCTTGAACCTGACACAGAATCCTGGGCTTGAGTAGGGCTCTGCTGATCATTTTGGAGTTTCTTTATCTTCTTTTCTGGGTTTCCACCTTCTTCCTCCCTGATGCTCATAGGAATCAGAGTAGAATCTGGGGAAGGGTCCCCCACTTCTAACACCCCGCTGCCCTCAGCTTGCTTTTGTGTTTATGGTCTTTCAATAAAAAGAAGACGTTTGGTCAGAGCTGTGTGTGGGGGGGGCGGGGGGTAGAGAGAGTCTTGTTTGTAGTGGGGTTATTTACAAAGCCCACTTACTTCCTTTTGTGCTTTGGGGTAAAGAACTGGAAACTATCAAAGTTCTCCCATCTAGAAAATGAGTTTGTACCTCAGAAGGCTCATGAGAGGGGTGGATGAGAAGACATTGGAAAGAGGTCATTGGAACAGAGCTTGCTATGTGACTAACAAAATTACTTCTTACTCAGGCATGAATTCTACTAAGTGAAAATCACAGTCAACCCCCGCCCTACAGGGGTTGGGGCTGTAGCCCAGTGGTAGAGCGCTTGCCTGGCATATAGGAGGCACTGGGTTCGATCCTTATCACCACATAAAAATAAACAAGTAAAATAAAGGCATGCTATTCATCTATAACTACAAAAAAACAAGCCCTACAACCTAAATGTCGCCTAGCAGCACACTTGATGGTCTTTTATCTTGAGTTCCAAGAGCAGTGACACCAGAATTACTGAAGCTTATGATAACATGGTGACAGGAGTGGGAGCAATGTTGAGAATGGGGCTTTGGGGGCTGGGGTTTAGCTCAGTGGTGGAGTGCTTGCCTCTCACATGTGAGGTACTGGGTTTAATCCTCAGCACCGTAAAAGGTATTGTGTCTATCTACAACTAAAAAAGAATGGGGCTTTGTATCTTGAACTTCCTGTTCCTCATTTGATATTACATCGTTAATATCTTCTTGGGGGGAGGGGTTTACTGGGAATGGAACCCAGAAGTGCTTAACCACTGAGCCATATTCCCAGCCCTTTTTATTTTTTGAGACAAGAGTCTCACTAAGGAGCACAGAGCCTTGGCAAATTGCTGAGGCTGACCTCAAACTTGTGATCTTCCGGTCTCAGCCTCCCAAGCCACTGGGATTATAGGCACGCATCACCACGCCCGACCAATATTAACACTTATACAAATATGACAGTATTATAAAATACTTCAGATATTTAAAAAGATACCTCTGGGCAGGATGGCATACGCCTGTAATCCCAGTGGTTTGGAAAGCTGAGGCAGGAGGATCTCCGTTTCAAAGCCAGTCTTAGCAACTTAGGCTGCAATTCTGTCTCAGAATTTTAAAAAAAGCTGGGGATGTGGCTCAGTGGTTAAGCGCCCTTGGGTTCAACTCCTGGTACCTAAAATAAGTAAATAACCACGAAGACCCATGTCCCACTTCCCAGCTTAGGAAACAATAGGTACCAGAGAGAACCAATTTTGACAGCAGCCCCAATCCATCCCCTTCAGCAGTAACCCCACCCTGGATTCCGCTTCTTTACCTTGCCGGGCTTTTGCTACATTAGTATTTTTGGTTTTTATATATAAGTTATCAGAGCCCACACACACTGAAAATGATTTGGCAAACATTCACGGCTTTTGCAAACTCAAATTCGTTGATTTCTCGCTCACTATTAAGGGCCCTCTCCAGCCACGCATGGCGCTGTGCTGCCTCTCCTGTCCCTTTATAAGAATTCATGGTAGGAGGGGCAAGAAGAGCTCTGGGTAAAAGAAGGCAGATTCCATCTCAGGGCTGGCTTTTCAGATGTCCTCCAAGTCTGTTTCCACTTCTGAAAATTGAGAGGTAAAGATAAAGACCCCCTTAGGGGAGACAGCTATCATTGGGTTCGGTGAAGATAAAGACCCCCTTAGGGGAGACAGCTATGGTTGGGTTCTTTTTTTTTCTTTAACCTTTATACTTATTTTTGTGTGGTGCTGAGTGAGGATCGAACCCAGTGCCTCATGCATGCTAGGCAAACGCTCTACCACTGACCTACAGCCCCAGCCCTAGCCTTAGTTTTACCTCCAAGCAATAGGTCTTATCCTCGTCCCTGCCTCGTCCAGTTGCAGAACTGGTGTTCCCTAAGGATTGAGGGGGACGTGGTGCCAGCTGACAGTACTCCAATCGGTGTGCCTGGGAGACAGCTAATAAAGAAATCTAAGGCAGTAGCACCTGCGGCAATCCGCCTGGAGCCTCTTGTCTCTCTCAGGCTCCCGTCCACCCACCCCTTCTCTGCGTCCTCATTGGCGGCAGCCTGCGCCCGGGGCGGGAGAAGAGGGAGCCAGTGGGCGGGGCCTCGTGGCGTCAGCGCAAGATGGCGGCCTCGGCGGCGCTGTTCTCGCGTTTGCGGAGCGGACTCGGGCTCGGCGCGCGGGGGCTGTGCACGAGGCTGGCGACGCCGCCCCCCCGAGCCCCAGACCAGGTGAGCTGAATGGGTTTGGGCCCTGGGTGCCTGGGCTCCTCCATGAAATTTCGGACGTATAGCTGCCGGGCAGGGGTTCTGGGATGCTGCACCTCAGGGTGCTGAATGGAAATCCGCCTGCGTTTGAGGGGTGCTTCCCTGCCTGCCAGGGACACATTTGCTTCCTGGGATGGATGTTGGGGCCCCAAGGGCATCCTCTGGATCACACCTCCCACCCACGTGGGCGACCGAAGAGGTCACCTCTTTCCCTGTGTCAGTGAACACTCAGGTGATAACACGACGGGGAGGGACCCGGGACGCTGGGGTTCCAGCCTGGCCTTGCGGGTATTTTCTTGGAGTTGTTAGTGGTAGTGAAGTAGATGTCCGGGCTTCGGATTCGACCTTCTTCCATGTGGACAGATCCCAACCATTCTGACCTCCAAGTTCATCACTTCCGTTCCCTTTTTTCCCCAAGTCCCATACAAGTTGCTCTTCCCTGCCCCCACTCCTGTCCTTTTTTTTCCTAGACCCTGCTACCTTGAGCCTTAGGAATCCGGATGTTTTAACTCTCAGTCTTGTCCCGTGTGCCTCTGTCCCCCAACTTCAGGCATCCCAATTTTGGGCGACCTGTTCCCTTAGTCTCCCTGACTGACTTTGCTGGGCTCCAGACCCTCCAGTTCTCTTACCTCCAGGGTCCTGGGTAAACTGGCCTGTCAGTTCTTAAATTCCTGGATTCGTTGCCCTGTACAGTCTAGCTTAGACTCTCTGAAGGGGGTCCTCTCAGTTGCCCTTCCAAGAATACAATGCTGGGGGTTATGTGGGTGTCTGCTGCTTGGCTTCTGATTTTGATTCTACTTGAACTAGAGTAGAGGTCAAAGTATCCTGACCTTGTCTCTCCCCTCTCTTAGCTAACCGCCTTCCTCCACTCCTCTCCCAATCTGCAGGCTGCAGAGATTGGAAGCCATGGGAGCACTAAAGCCCAGGGGCCACAGCAGCAGCCAGGCTCAGAAGGTCCCAGCTATGCCAAAAAAGTTGCACTTTGGCTTGCTGGTTTGCTTGGAGCTGGTGGGACTGTGAGCATCATCTATATTTTCGGTGAGGGACATGCCCCTGCCCCCCAATTTTGTTCTGCTGGCTTCCTGAATTCTACTGTGGAACCTTCCCCTCTTTCCCCGTAGTGGCTTCACTGATCTTCATTCTCTGACCCTTCAATAGGGCTGCCAACTAGGACACCTATTTTGAAAACTGGAGAAGTCTCCTTTCTTCTCCTTTCTACCCCTTCTGTCTCTCGAGCTGGTTCCTGTATCAGGCTATGGGGAACCAATTGGAAGAAGGGAATATAGAGGAGGATAGGCCTAGACCAGCCTTCTAAGCTGTGTCTTCCCTCAGCACCCAAAAGTCCATCCCAGTCCCCTCCTCCCTTGAATCTAGGAGGCCATACCTCTAGCCCTCTCTCTCAGACCCAGGAGTCCAAGCCCCTGACATACCTTCTACCCCCAAGAGCCAGGAGATGGGGTCCCCATGTCTTCCATTGATTGTCTCCCTTGCAGGAAACAACCCTGTGGATGAAAACGGTGCCAAGGTGAGGGGGAACAAGGCCTTGCCAGAGTCCTTCCTTTGTGAGGGTGGGTTCCCTTTGGTCTACTCAGCTTGTCTCTGGCCTGGAGTGAGCCTCTCCCTCCCAAGGACCTTCTACTCCTCTCAGAGGTCTTGGAGAACCTTTTATAAGTATGTTGGGGTCCTGCCTGTTCCTTCCCAAACTTTCCATTTTTCTCTCCACCTCCCAGATTCCTGATGAGTTCGACAATGGTAAGTCAACAAGCACAGATTCTGGGGTCCCCTGGCCCTCTTAACTGTGCCACTTAGGCACAGGAGCCCTCCCCATCTGGTGCTCCCAGCCCCTCCTCCTTCTATTGGGGGGGCACAGACATGGGGGGCAGCAGCTGGATGGCTTGGGGGAGGGGCATTACAAAGCCCCAGCCCCCTTTCCTGGCCCCTCAACCCAGGAGCAGATGGCCGAGGACAGATGGGGGAGGGGAACCTGGGTGGGAGGGCTTGGGGAGACGGGGCAGTCTATCCCCAGACACATGGCTTCCTGTGCCTTAGATCTGAGCATCTGCAGCCCCTAACCCCCTCCTCTTTATGACAGCCTCTTTTTTTTCCCCTAAGCTCCTACCCCACCAGGCTCCTCATTTCCAAAACAATGCCTCCCTCCCTCCCCCTCTCATTAACCAGCTTTTGATGGGGAGCTTCTGACAAATTGGATAGTAGTTGTCAATTCTGTCACACCTGGCCCTTCCCAAGAGAAAAGTAAAATTGGTGGATCCAGAAAGCCACCTGTTTTGTGCTGGGGAGTTTGTTATACTGATTGTTGCAGCGAGGCATCGGGGTGAGTATGTTTTAACTGGGCAGATATAAAATTATAGTGGCTTCAACAAATCAATATGCTGATTTAAATTGGGCAGGTAGAGACATAGGTTTAAAATGTGCATATTAACTGGTTTCAATATTGTGGTTTTTCAGAGATTGGCCCATAGGTAGAATTGGATTGAAAATAGTGCCCTCCAGCGGGCACTCCTGGAAGCTCTCGGTTTCAGCTGAAGCCAATGTACTCATTTAAACCAGGGTTTTTCACCTTCAGCCCTACTGACAGTTTGAACTAGATCATTCTTTACTGTGGGGGGACTGTCTTGTGCATTATAGAATGTTTAGCAGCACCCAGGATAATTATATTTACGCACTAGGTGCCAGAATCATGGCAATCAAAACTGTCCCCAGCCCATGGGGCTTGGAAGAGCCCATGCTTAGCATGGGTGAGATCCTGGGTTCAGTCCTAGCATCAAAAAAAAAAAAGGTCTCTAGACATTGCCAAATTTACAGTGGTAGTGTGTGTCAGAGGGACAAGATAAATAAAAGTGTTCTTAGTTGAGAATCTCTGGTTTTAAGCATACAGATGTGTCTGTGTTCACTGTAGTATAACTAGACTAGTGCACTGGCTTTGAGCAGACATCTCAAGATCAGGATGGACTAAACACTGGCATAAGATCAAAAGGTGTACATGTCTGAATTTTTTAAAAAATATTTTTGTTTAGTTGTAAATGGACACAATACCTTTATTTTGTTTATTTATTTTCATGTGGTGCTGAGGATCGAACCCAGTGCCTCACATGTGCGAGGCAAGCACTCTGCCATTGAGCCACAGCCCTAGCCCCTTTATGTCTGAATTTTAGGTGGGCTATTTTTATACCTGGCATGGAGTGTGGAAGTAAGTATTCACATTAAAACTGGGTAAGTGAGGGGGCTGGGGCTGGGGCTCAGCGGTAGAGCACTCACCTAGCATGGCTGAGGCACTGGGTTCGGTCTTCAGCACCACATAAAGATTAATAAAGGTATTGTGTCCATCTATAATCAAACATTTTTTTTAAAAAACTGGGTAAATGAATATCTTTGTTCCCACCTGGTAATATGTCGTTGCCATCTACCTTTTGGCCTCGAAATGAGCTGATTGAAACCAGGCGGGAGTAGACCTGCTGTGTGTCTGGTGGATCACAAACCTCTGGTGTTTGGGAGGTCGAGCAGCAGCTTATCTTGGAATCCTTTGTGCCCAATGTTCTCCTAGATCCAATTCTGGTCCAGCAGTTACGTCGGACATACAAATATTTCAAAGATTATAGACAGGTAAGCAGGGACCTGGGCCTGGTCCCTACCTTCCGTCCTCAGCCCCCAGCTTCTGTGTCAAGCACCCTTGTCCCTTTTCTGTCCCACAGATGATCATTGAGCCCACCAGCCCCTGCCTTCTTCCAGACCCTCTGCGGGAGCCATACTACCAGCCGCCCTACACACTTGTCTTGGAGCTCACTGGTGTCCTCTTGCACCCTGAGTGGTCGGTGTGTCTCGGGGAAGGCAGCGGGTTGGGGATAGACCTGTGCAGTGGGCTGGGGGTGCTGTGTGATCTTGGGGAGAGCCTGTCTCTTCCCACTGCCTCGCTTTCAGTGCCCACTGTGGGGCTGTCGGGGGTGTGCCAGGAGTCGGCTCTTGCTCCAGACTCTAGTTCTTAGCCCTTGGGTTCTCAAACCCCCAAGAACAGAGGGAACCCTGGCTCTGGGAACCCCCTGGCTGGGTCTAGGCCCCGGGCCCCTCGTGGTCCTGGTGGCTCACTGCCCTCATCCCCCAGCTGGCTACTGGCTGGAGGTTCAAGAAGCGGCCAGGCATTGAGACCTTGTTCCAGCAGCTTGCACCTCTGTACGAAATTGTCATCTTCACGTCAGAGACTGGCATGGTGAGGCTCCGGGGCAGAGCAGGCATGGGTGGTGTGGGGGAGCAAGAGATCTGGTGGGCCAGACCCAGCTGACCTCTCCTTGATCCCCCCAGACTGCGTTTCCACTCATCGACAGTGTGGACCCCCATGGCTTCATCTCCTACCGCCTCTTCCGGGATGCCACAAGATACATGGATGGACACCATGTCAAGGTGCCGTGTGGGGGTTATGGTGGGGGGCCTCTGGGGTGGGCTCGGGTGCCAGCACTGCCAGAAAGAGGGCTGAGCTCCAGTCCCAGCCTCCACCCTGCTTGTGATTCTGTACAGATCTCATTCTCCTGGCAGGACCTGAGCTTGGCGGAGCATTTTGGCCCTTCCTCCAGAATCTGGGGGAGTGGGGAGAAGTGGGGTCTCCCTAAAGAAGACAGTGTGGGTGAGGGGTAGTGATGTGGAGTTTCGTCTCTCTGTGTCTGTAACTGGGTGCTTCAGGACAGTGGATAATTGCAGTTGCTCCCATGAGCCTGGGTGTGGAAACACATGCCGGGGTCTGGGCCTGGCTCCAGGATTCCCTGTGCCCAGGCGTCTGTTGGGCTTCTATCTGGGTCTTGGTGGGGCTGGGGGCTTACGTTGGGATTCAGCGGTGCATGGACTGTGACGAAGGTCTGTGTCAGTCTGTGTGACTCCCTGTGTGTTGCTGTGGGTCCATCTGCACCTCTTTTTCCTGGGCAAGAGGTTCTTCGACCTGCAGCATATCACAGTCACCTCACCTGGGCAGTAGTTGGACACGCCAGGGCCCGCCCATCCCAAGAGGGCCTAGGAGTGGCGTGACTCCGCCCAGCCAGAGGCCGAGGGCTCTGCAGGTGGAGTTTGGGAGAGGGGCCATGGTGATGCCTTGTGTGTGCATGTTCCTCGTGGGGAGGGGAGGGGCACAGAGAGTGACCTGACCTGTTGCCCACTTCCAGGACATTTCGTGTCTGAATCGGGACCCGGCCCGAGTGGTGGTTGTGGACTGCAAGAAGGAAGCCTTCCGCCTGCAGCCCTACAATGGTGTCGCCCTGCGGCCCTGGGACGGCAACTCGGACGACCGGGTCTTGTTGGACCTGTCTGCCTTCCTTAAGAGTGAGGCTGGTCCCGCCCTCCTAGCCCCTGACCCCAGGGACCTGGTCCTCAAGGTGATGGCAGATGCTTGATTCTGCCTTGTCTTTCTTGTCCACTGGCAGTCAAGTGAGGCCCTGGGCTCAGTCTCCAGTGCTGGGAAAACAAACTGCAGTCGAGGGGCAGAGGCCACGAGCATCTTGGAGTTCCAGAGACTCCTATGTCCGGGTGCTCCCCTGGGAATGTCGGGGGAGCCCTTGTGGAGCATTGAGAGCGTTCCAGGGAGTGTCGGTCTGGATCTGACCTTGGCCCTGTGGGCCCTGCCTCCCTTGGGCCTCAAGGCTGGCTGACCGCGTCCTGTTGTGCCCGCAGCCATCGCTCTGAACCAAGTGGAGGACGTGCGGACCGTGCTGGAGCACTACGCCCTGGAGGATGACCCGCTGGAGGCTTTCAAGCAGCGGCAGAGCCAGCTCGAGCAGGTTGGACTCGCTCCACGCCCAGGGTCCTTTGAGGCTCCCGAAGGAGGTTCCTAAAGCAGCCCCTCTCTATACTGTCCCCTGGCTGACTGTGACCTTGGCCAGTACCTTCTCCTTTGCCGCAGTATCTGTGACCTGGGGCCGGTGACACAGCCTTCCGGGCAGGGATGTGGCGAGGAGGGTGGCCTGGTTCTGTGGGCTGCTCAGGAAATGGAAAGCACTTGAGATGGGTCTGGAGGAGGGAGTGTCCGTGACACTTGTGAGCAGTCCTGGGGACTCCCTGTGGAGGTAGACTTAAGGTTTAGATCATGTCTGGAGGGAGGTGTCCATGGCACTTGGCCAGGAGTCTGGGGAGGGAACTTTGCTGGTCTTGGAGGGACACTGGTGTGTGGCTCGAGTCAGAAAAGATGCTCATGTCCAGGCTGCGGTTGGCCAGATTCTGGGTTGGTTTTCTGGGGCTAGCTAGAGCCCTAAGTGCCCAGAGAAGGCCTGGAGAGCTGGGTCAGGGGCTTCCCCCATGCCAGCCACTGGGTGCTCAGAGTAGGACAGGGCAGTCTGTTGAAGAAGGCTATGGTCTTTGGATCTGGGGTCTCCCCCAGTATCCAGGATGGGGTCTAGGGTCTGAGATAGGTTCCCAGGCTTTGGGGAGGGGCTTCTGAGAATTTTCTGCCTGAGAAACTCCTGAAGTTCATGGCTGAAAATCCTGAAGGCCTGGAATCTGAGTGTGGTGTCCCCCAGGCATCTTGAGGTTGAGCTCCTGTGACGCAGCTGGCCCTTACCAGTGTGTGAACAGGGGCTGGAGCTGGCGTGCAGTGCTCTGTTGGTTTGGGGAGGGGAGTGGGCCCTGGGCCAAAGTCTAAAGGAAGGCTGGCCCCTGGGCTGAGGCTGGGGACTGGCAGTGTGGGAGGAAACCCACCTACCCCAGGCTGACCTCCTCCTCCTCTTGTCCCCTGACCCCAGGAGGAACAGCAGCGCCTGGCTGAGCTCGCCAAGTCCAACAAGCAGAAACTCTTCCTCGGCTCTCTCACCAGCCGCTTGTGGCCTCGCTCCAAACAGCCCTGATGCTCTGGGCCTCCTCAAACTCACTGCCTGGGTTCAGGGCCTCAGGCCCCAGTGCTCCCAGACCAAGGCTTGGGCAGCCACATGTCCAATAAAGTGCATCCCAGATGGCACAACTCCTGTGTCCGGAGAGTCTCCAGATGGGGCATCAGGGTGAGGTCCGGGACTTGGGTCATCATGCCACAGTGGCCAGCTGACTGCCGAACAGAGCAGAGGCTCTGTAGGATCAGGGCCAGTTTGGGCCTGGCTGTCTGGAAACCCGGGTCTCTGCTCGGCTGTCTTCCCATGTGCTGTTTGATCTGCAAAAAGTGCACCTCTCTGGCTCCAGATTCCTCGCATGTGGAGAAAAGCAGAGGATGGGGGTTAAACACAGGTAGCTCCCGTGGAAATAAAGCCAAGTTGAGCCCTGGTGGTCTAGAGATGGCCCCACCTCACCTGGACATCTGCTCACCTCCTGCCAGCCGTGGCCCCACGGGAAGGTGGCCCTGGAGTTGTTTGAGCTTCCGGTTTTTCAACAGAAGCCCAGAGTTGGGAGGGATGGATGAGTGGATGGATTGATGGATCGATGGATTGATTTTTGAGATGCGCTCTCACTGTGTTGCCGAGGCTGGTCTTAACTCCAGGGCTTGAGTGGTCTTCCTGCCTCAGCTTCCAGAGTATCTGGGGCATAAGACTGCTACAGTGCCCGCCCAGAAATGAGGATTTTTATATTAAATCTCACTGTTGATTGGTTTTCTGCAGTGCTGGGTGGAGCCCAGGGCCTCACACACCAGGCTGAAACTGCCCTGAGATTTAACAGCCACATGTGTCTCCTGGCCCCCATATTGGCAAGCACGGCTGTGTGGGTTCCTGACTGTCCAAGTGCAGATGCAAGCTCTGCCACTTCCTGGCAGGCTGTGACCCTGGGCAATTTATTTTACCTCTCAGTGCCTCAGTTTCTACAACTACCTTAGTTTCTGCCTCAGCTTAAAAGCAGAACCCCTTCCACATAGGCCCCGGGGTAGTAGCTGTAAGAATCTAAGGGAGGTACCCCTCCACCTTGGTTTTGTCATCTCTAAAACAGGGGTGTTGGTACCTTAGAGAGGCTGTCAGGAATAGTGACATGAACTGTCCAGTGACATGAACTTAACAGGCCACATGGTTGTCACAGATGGAAATGTGCTGGACCTTTTTGGCTTGAAGTGTCTTCCTCCCAGCCTCTCCGCTCCGGCTGGCACCTACTGCTAGTACCAACTATTTTTAAAAGATCTTCCTTGGTGTTTCTTATAAGAACTAAATGCACTTGAAATAATGGTCAGCCAGATGCTGAGGGGCACACCTGTGATCTTAGGCTGAGGCAGGAGGATCACAAATTTGAGGCCAGCCCCAGCAATTTAGCAAGAACCTGTCTCAAAAAGGCCTGGGATGTAGTGTGGTAGAGCACCCCTGGGTTCAATTAAAAAAAAAAAAAAAAAGTTCATGGGCATCTGCAAAGATAAAGTTTGCAGGAACACGCCCAGCCCTGGGTACTGTTTCTAATGCAGGAAGCCGACCCACATCCTCAAGGCTCCCTAGTTTGGGGAAGTTCCTGGGTAGAGGGAGGGCCTGCATTTGCTTGTCATGTGGCTTTAAGAAATGAGACTAAGGATAAGGGGACAAAGCTGCTTCTGTGAGAGTCCTGGGGGAGCCCCTGGTGGGCTGGGAGCTTGCCCCCAGGTGTGCCTACATCCCACGGAACCTGAGGGCCTTTCCAAATCCCCTGCACCAGTACGTGGAAGGAAGAGGTTTATCTGCCAGCCCCTCCCCTCTGGGGTCAAGAGTGTCTCTCCGGGCAGCAGCCTTTGGCATTCTGGGTGGCACATGCTCTTGCAACCATTGGATCTCCCAGACTTGCTGCTCACTTTGGTGCCAGCTCAGCGCCCCTTGTGCAGTCAGGTGACACTCACTCGCTGAAAGCTGGTGGGGAGGAGAGGATTTGACACTGCTTGTATGACATGGCAGGACATGATCCTCAAGGGCCCTGGGCACCAGGGCTGCGTTGTGTCCTGGGGTCTTCTGATGGACAGCACTGCGCCGCATTAAAGCACCCCAACAGGACCTGCATCTCCGGGTCACGCTTCCGGGCTCGGTGACCCTGGCAAGGCCCTAGCCTCCATTTCCTCACCCCAAGGGGTTGATACTGGCTCCTCCCGGCTGGCCCCCTGCTGTGCGGCCCTGCTGGCCCTGGCTGCAGAAGTGGGCCACGGGGGTGGGGAGCTCCGCCCTCATGGAGCTGGGGTCCCACAGAGGAGATGACAACGCCTCCGGTAGTTCTTGGGGATGATCAATGGATAAAGAAAAATAAACCCGGTGACTCAGGAGGCTGAGGGGGGAGATCCAAAGCTTGGGCAGTTTAGCAAGACCCTGATGGAAAAGGGCTGGGGTATAGCTCAGTGAGACAGTGCCCCTGGGTTCAGTCCTCAGAAATGAAAAAGAAAATGTGGGAGAAGCAGGGGCTTGGGGACTTGGAGGGCTACTTTATACTTGAGGGATTGGTCCAGAAAGGCGTCTTGGGAAGGTACAGTTGAGCAGAGCCCAGAAGGAAATGAGAAGGAAAGCCCTGGGGACATCGCATAGGCCTCAGCCTTTGCACTTCCTTTGCCACCCTCACCTCCTCTAGGTCTCAGCTCACATGTCACCTCAGCAGGCCTTCTGTGGTCTCTAAGGTTAGCACATAAGAAAAAGTCCCAGCCAGCACAGTGGAGCACACCTGTAATCCCAGCAGCTCAAGAGGCTGAGGCAGGAGGATCTCAAGTTCAAAGCCAGCCTCAGCAGTAGGGAGTCACTAAGCAACTCAGTGAGACTGTCTCTAGATAAAATATAAAATAGGGCTGGGGATGTGGTTGAATACCCCTGAGTTCAGTCCTTGATACCAAAAAGTAAGTCCCAAACAGCCAAAAAGATAGTCAGAAATCCTGTAAAGTACATTTCCCACACATGTGACATGAGAGAGTCCCTGAGAAATGCCATAATGCTTAGCACAAACCTGCAATAAAGGCTACTCTTAAAAATTTATTCATTTTTTATGGTGCCAGGAATCCAACCTAGAGCCTTGTATATGAGAGGCAAGTGTTGTTTTAAGTATTTTAGTTATAGGTGGACACAATATCTTTATGTGGGGCTGAGGATCAAACCCAGTGCCTCATGCATGCAAGGCGAGCACTCTTCCTCTGAGCCACAATCTCAGCCCCAGACAATTTTTAATTTTTTAAAATTTTTAGGTATATCAAACCTGGAATCTGTTACTTTCTCAAGTTACCCAGGGCAGAAGTTTGCCATCTCCCACAGCTAATTTTTTTTTTTTTTTTTTTTTTTTTTTTAGTTGTTGACAGACCTTTATTCCTTTATTTTATTTATTCATATGCGGTGCTGAGAATCAAACCCAGGCCTCACACATGCCAGGCAAGTGTGCTACCGCTGAGCCCCAGCCCTCCCACAGCTAATTCTAATCTTGCCCAAATTCTGTGTGAACATCTCCAAGATGGGAGGTTCACTCTCCCACCTGACCCTAATCTGCTGCCCAATAATCTGGGTCCAAAAGGTCTGGCTTTTCCCTTTGGGGGGCCACAGAATCTGAGTAGTGAGGATGTGGGACAAGGACTTCAAATGTCAGTCTTAAAGATGCACGAGCCACTGAAGAGTATGCAGCGGGAGGACGGGGCCGGGTTTGTGTTCAGAAAGACCCCATAGGCCAGAGTGGTCAGGGCCGGTGGGGAGGCCCGGGCAGAGGGTGGGGCCAGCACAGAGGAATCCCTGGGGGCTGTGGGAGCTCAGAGGCCTGGGGCCCTTGGGGAGGCATCCCGAGGGCATCCCTCCACCCATAGGGAGGGAGGGAGGGAAAGAGCAGCAGAATGAGAAGGAGCCTGGACATTGCGTGAGCTGACCACAGCCTTCTCTGGCTCAGACCCTCCCCTACTCCAGTGTCCTCAGGATTACGAGAAGGTTCTAGATTGGCATTCTTCTATTAATTACAAAATGAGCACTCTGTGTGCCTGACTGCTGACCTCTAGCAGACAATATGCATTTAAATTCAACCTGTATTCTCCCCCTAAAACTATTAGCCTACGAATTAATGTCCCCTCCTCCGGGAAAAGGAACGAGTTTCTTCCATCCAACGGGCTTTGCCCTGGGCACAGAGTGATTATGTCCAGGGCTGGAACATCTGCCCCTAACTGGCGTTTTTTGCTGTGGCCCTGGAATACTAAGGGGTTTTGGGGGGTCTGGGGGCGCCCCCACCGCATTCGTCCTGGGGTGGGAGAGCGACTCCTGGCTCCTGGTGCGTGAAGACGAATTTCCTGCCCATTTGCTCCTCACACCTTCCGGAGGCCAAACGGGCAGCCCAGCTGCGGCCTAGGGGGAGGGGCGCGGCCGCCCGGCAGATGGCGGCATTTACATACAGCTGAGAGTTCCCTTTGAGGCTGGGGCTCCTCGCCCTGGCGTCTGGTGATGAGGGGTTTGGGAGGGTGGCTTTGTTATCTGGAGGCGGAACACACACGAGTACCCGCGCATACACACACACACATACACACAGGTCCACAAAGAACCCCGGATCTTCGTCGTATTCATTCACAGCTACACCCGGGGGACCTCCCAAACCTAGTCACCCGCCCACACACACCCCTTAGTCATTCACAACCTCATTCATGTCCTCTAGCCCCACACGCACACAGCCAGCTGGAGACACCTGCACAGGACCACAAAGTCCCAGGCTCCTACGACTACACACAATGGTCCAGGATCTCGCATAAAACACATACACATGCGCGGAGAAGCTTGCGCGCAGCCCACGATCTCAAAACGTCACACAATCCTGAAGTCGTTTACACTTCTTTTCGCCCACTCAGGTGCGTACTCACACACAGAGAATCTTCGAATTATTTACAGTGTGCAGTTGTGTTACCCATCACAATTGCAGGCACACACTGAACTGCACAATCCCATTTAGCCACCGCGTCATGCACGTCCCCCAGTAGCCCTTGTCCCTACACATACACACTTAGAACCACGTGCAACCTCACAGACTCAGCGCCGGATTCCCCAGCCCACCCCGACCACACTCAAAATCACGCCCACAAACACACTGCATCGCCGCGCCCATCACACATCGCAATCCTGAAGTTGCTCGCGCTCTGCGCCCCTTCCCCGGCCGCCTCTTCCCCTGGATCCCCGGAGCCAGGCGGCTGCCTGAAGGGGCGGGGCCGTCCTCTCCGTTATAAAGCTCCAGGAACCAGCAGCTGCGACTCCCGGGATCCTGGAAAGGCCATGGTCTCTCTGCGGATGTCCCGGGTCCTGTCGGTGATCCTGGCGCTCTTTTGCCTTCCCCAGGTCAGAACACAGCAGCGGAGATGCAATGAACAGGGATAAATGGGGCTGGACGGGGCGGCCCACTGGTCTTGGGAGGGG